CTTAAGCAGCACTCCCTGGGCCCACACACGCACACATGAACACACACACACGATTTCTTTGAGGAACTGTGTGAAGCAGCTGTGTGATCTGACTGAGGCTCCCACAACAGCTGCCGTCCTCCTGTCTGAGCTCGAGGCCAGCCTGGGCGACAGAGCGAGTCCAGGACAGCCAGGGCCATACAGAGAGACCCTGTCTGGAAAAACAACAGCACAAATTGAGTTGTCTGCTTTTCTGTTGAGCTGACACCGACTTGTAGGTGTGCCCTCCCATTTCGTAGCCTGTCTCTTCACAGTGTTCGTGACATCAGTAGCGGGCGAGAATCTCGGTTTGGATTTTACTTTCCCTTTTATGTTGTGTGCACACAAGCTCTTTGTGTGACTCTGGCTGGCCAGGACAGCCAGGGCTACACAGAGAAACCCTGTCTCAAAAAAGCCGAGCCAAAAAAACAAAATAAAAACAAAAAAATTACGGAGCTTCGTTTAGTTGCGAGGTTCTTTTTTTTTTTTCTTGTTTTTCTTTTTCTTCTCTTTCTTTCTTCCTCCCTTCCTTCATTCTTTCTTCCTCCCTTCCTTCCTTTCTTTCTTCCTCCCTTCCTCCCTTCCTTCCTTTCTTTCTTCCTCCCTTCCTTCCTTTCTTTCTTCCTCCCTTCCTTTCTTTCTTCCTCCCTCCCTTCCTTCCTTTCTTTCTTCCTCCCTCCTTCCCTTCCTTCCTTAGATAGGATTTTACTACGTAGCCTAACTTCACAATTATGCCCTTCCCAGCTTAGCCTCCTCAGTGGTGAGATCACAGACGTGTGAAAAGAAAACACAAGTTCCAGCCACACGGAGGTGCTGAGGATTCCCACCCTCACCAGGTCAGCAGTGATATTGTAGCCGGCGCCACGGCTGCCGCCCTGGGTGACGGGTGACGGGTGACGGGCCGGTGCCGGCCGGTTGCTCCACACAGGCTTCTCTGCTCTCCTCTCGAGTGGGGCTCGGCCAGGGTCCACCTGGAAGGCAGCAGCTGGAAGAGCAGCGCTGTTGGAGTCTGTGTTTGTATGTGTTTGCACGTGTATGCGGTGGGCCGTGGAGGGTGACGTGTCCTTCCTCCCTCGAGGCTCTGCACCCTAGCCTTTAACATTTAATTATTTCTAATTGTGTGTATGTGTGTACATATGCATGTACGTGTGTGTGTGTGTGTGTGTGTGTGTGTGTGTGTGTGTGTGTAGTGTGCATGCATGCATGTCTGGGGGTGAATTCTTGCTCACCTGTGCAGTGCCCACAGGGGCCAGAAGAGCTGCAGTTACAGGGGCTTGAGGGCCGCTGGCGTGGGGCCAGGAACCAAACTCAGGGCATCAGAGCAGCAAGTGATCTTTCTTAACTTTTAGCTATTACTTACTTCAATTTATTCACTTTGTGTCCCCCTGTGGCCCCTCCCTCATCCCCTCCCAATCCCACCCTCCCTCCCTCTCCTCCCTGCCCCTCCCCCAGGCCACTGATGGGGAGGTCCTCCTCCCTTCCCTCTGACCCTGGCCTATCAGGTCTCATCAGGACTGGCTGCATCGTCTTCCTCTGTGGCCTGGCAAGGCTGCTCCCCCCTCAGGGGAGGTGATCAAAGAGCCAGTCACTGAGCTCATGCCAGAGACAGTCCCTGTTCCCCTTACTAGGGAGCCCACTTGGAGACTGAGCTGCCAAGGGCTACATCTGAGCAGGGGATCTAGGTTATCTCCATGCATGGTACTTGGGCCTGCAGGGCAGAGTCTTTCAGAGTCCCTCTGTGATAGGCTCCTGTCCTGTTCCCTGTTTTCTCCCTCTTCTGATGTCCATCCTGTTTGCCCTTCTGAGTGAGGATTGAGCATCTTCCCTAGGGTCTTCCTTGTTGTTTAGCTTCTGTAAGAGTATAGATTTTAGTATGTTTATCCTGTATTACATGTCTAATATCCACTTATAGCTGAGTATATACCATGTGTGTCTTTCTGTTTCTGGGATACCTCACTCAGGATGATCTTTTCTAGTTCCATCCATTTGTCTGTAAATGCCATGATTTCCTTGTGTTTAATTGCTGAGTAGTATTCCATGTGTGAATGTAGCAGTTTCTGTATCCATTCCTCGACTGAGGGACACCTGGTTGTTTCCAGATTCTGGCTATTATGAATAAAGCTGCTATGAACATGGTTGAGCAAATGTCCTTATTGTGTACTTGAACATATTTCGGATATATCCCGAGGAGTGCTATAGCTGGGCACGCCTACAGATACTTGATTTTTGATAAAGAAGCCAAAACCATACAATGGAAAAAAGACAGCATCTTCAACAAATGGTGCTGGTCTAACTGGATGTCTACATGCAGAAAAATGAAAATAGATCCATATTTACCAACTTGCACAAAACTAAAGCCCATGTGGATCAAAGACCTCAATATAAAACCAGACACACTAAACCTGTTAGAAGAAAAAATGGGGAAGAACCTTGAACTCATTGGCCCTGGAGACAACTTCCTGAACAGAACACCAACAGCACAGGCTCTAAGATCAACAATCAATAAATGGGGCCTCATGAAACTGAAAAGCTTCTGTAAAGCAAAGGACACTGTCATCAGAACAAAATGACAGCCTACAGACTGGGAAAGGATTTTCACCAACCCTCTATCTGATAAAGGACTAATATCCAGTACATATAAAGAACTCAAGAAGTTAAACAGCAACAAACCAAGTAATCAATTTAAAAATGGGGGACAGAGCTAAACAGAGAACTCTCAATAGAGAAATATCGAATGGCAGAGAAACACTTAAAGAAATGCTCAATGTCCTTAGCCATCAGGGAAATGCAAATAAAAACGACCCTGAGATTTCACCTTACATCATCAGAATGGCCAAGATGAAAAACTCAAGGGACAACACGTGCTGGAGAGGTTGTGGAGAATGGAGACAGGGGAAGCCTCCTTCACTGCTGGTGGGAGTGTAAACTGGTACAACCACTCTGGAAATCCATCTGGCGCTTTCCCAGACAGCTAGGAAGAGTGCAGCAAATGACCTGAGTGGCGGAGGGATGGCTGGGCTCCTTGGAGACTGGTCTCCCAGTGAACCTGGACTCACCTATTGGGCTGGTTTGGTTGGTTGGCTGGTGAGTGCCAGGCACCCTCCTGTCTCGGCCACCCCAGCGCGGCATTACAAGCACAGGCCATCGGTCCCCGGAGGTTAGCCTCCGCCTGCAGGCCGGCTCAGCCTCCCTGCGGCTCTCCAGAGCCCGCTGGCGGCCGGCACCCTCCTCCCAGGGCACAGCAGAGGCGGGCCCCTCCGGACCTGTCTGCCCACGGTGCCCTTCTCTCGGATCTGAGGGGACCCCAGGAGCCTGCAGGCCCGGCAGCATGGAGGTCCTTCCCAACCCGCCCGCTGCAGCCACCATGAGCAGAGAGCAGGCTGCACATGCGAGCACACGGAATCACACAGGAGCACACGGAAGCACACTGAAAAAGCACATGGGAGCACACAGGAGAACACAGAAGCACACAGGAACACATGGGAGCACACAGGAGAACACAGAAGCACACAGGAGCACATGGAAGCACACTGAGGCTGCCCTCCCCGCCGAGGCTCTGACTGGATCCTGTCCACCTCTCCCAGGGGCCCGGGCACACGGCGTGGACGCTCGTGTGGCCCTAGAACCCCCCCTCACCCTCAGGCTCGGACCCAGCGGGGGAGAGGCGGAGGTCAGGCCCCCAGCTCTTTTGGTCTTCACACTAACCGGGGGCTCACCTCCCTTCAGCTGCGGGAGCAGAGGATCATGGACAAGCGTGACCTTCCGTGCCACCGTGTCCACGCTTCTTGCTGTAAACGGCTGGGGAGGTGGGGCTCGGCCCCTGCTTGCTGACCCTTGCTCCCGGTTTGCCGCCCCCCCCCCCCCCGAAGGCCCCGGTGAAGTCCCGGGAGCACAGCCCTGAGCGGGCACGGGTGAGGGCGTGAGCCGCGGCCCTCTCCAGCTCCTGATCCTGTGCCCCGGCCCAGGGTGGGTGTCCTCTGAGCCGGACCCCTACTCCTGGGACCTGGGGACCAAGGGCGCTGTGAGCCTGCGCCTCAAAAGGAGATGGAGAGCCGGCACGCTTTCAGCTCCGTCACACGTTGTGGATTGTGTGCAGTGTGCACACGCCTGCACACACGACGGCCTGCGTGTGGGTGGAGGCCAGCGGACAAGACGGGACTCATGTCCTTCCCCACGCGTCCTGAGCCACGGAACCATGATGCCAACGAGCCATGCTTTGAAGGAGACGCGGCTGGAGAGCACCGCCTCTCCACATACGGGGAGGAGCCTCTGCACACGCGGGGAGGAGCCTCTCCACACGCGGGGAGGAGCCTCTGCACACACGGGGAGGAGCCTCTCCACACACGGGGAGGAGCCTCTGCACACACGGGGAGGAGCCTCTGCACACGCGGGGAGGAGCCTCTGCACACGCGGGGAGGAGCCTCTGCACACACGGGGAGGAGCCTCTGTACACACGGGGAGGAGCCTCTGTACACACGGGGAGGGAGGAGCCTCTCCACACACGGGGAGGAGCCTCTGTACACACGGGGAGGGAGGAGCCTCTGCACACACGGGGACAGAGGCCCAGAAAGTCGCCCGCCGGTCACACACTGGCTGCAGCCGTGGGCTCCGCCGCCGTGGCCGCCGGCCGCAGGGTCTGGCCTCCGAGGTGGGCGTGGGGCGTTGTCAAGCGGCGCCACTGGAGACCCGGGCCGGGAGGTCCCTCGCGCGCCCCCGCCCCGTCGGTGCGGCGCCCCCTGGGCCCCGGCAGCAGCTTCCTCCCCTCCCACCCTCCTGACAAAAGCGAGTACGAACAGCAAAGCGCCCTCGCCTCCTCCGGGCTCCCCGGGGCTGCAACCCGAGCCGCGCCTGGGGGTGGAAATGGACCGCAGCCGTGCGGAGGCGCGTCCTGCGCGCGGGGAGCTCCCGGCCTGCACCGCGGCGGGCAGGCTGCACGCTGCCTCTGGTCGGCTGAGGGTCCCTGGCGGAGCGGGGGAGGGCGGCCCGGGCACAAAGCTGCCGGAGGCCGGGGACTGTCTCCACCGTCCTGCCCGCCCTGTGCGCGCCGCGTCAGCCTTGTCTCAGTGTGTTGCTGTGGGTGTCGTTGCCGTGTGAAAGACGAGAACTGAATCCAGGACCTCCTGTGTAAGGAAGCGCTTTATTGAGGAGCCACAGCCAGCCCCTCACTGGGGGTTCCGGGTCACTGCACGCTGCTGTGTTTATGTCAGTGTTTCGCACATTAGTGTGTGCATGTCGGCGTGTTCTTGTGCATGTGTGTGCAGATGTGTGTGTGTGCATGTGTGTGCACGCTCTGGCGGCCAGAGGCCAACCCCCACCGTCATTTCCGTGCTGTCCACTTGGGTTTGGTTTTATTTTTATTCTGCACGGATGAGCGTTTGCATGCACATGTGAGCACCGTGTGTTTGCGCGGTGCCTGAGGAGGCCTGAAGAAAGCGTCGCCTCCCACGGCTGGGGTTGGGAACAGTTAGAGCCGCCACGGGGCTGTGAGACGGGAACCGTGCTGCCTGGCCTCTGCCTCGTTTGTTTGTTGGCTTGTTTGTGCTCAAACGCGGTTATTTCTCGGCTGTTGTTCATGTTTACCTCTGAGACAGGGTCTCTCCAGCCCGGGCTATCGAGCTCTGAGAACCTGCTGTCCTCGCCCGCCGGTGCTGGGTTTACAGTCACTTTTACACAGACGTCATGCGGCAAATTCCTCATGCCTGGGCAGCAAGGCCTACCAACAGAGCCATCTCCCAGCTTCTGTTTGTCTTGTCTGAGCCAGGGTTTCCCGTAAACCTGCCCAGCAGCCAGCAACCTCGAATGTCCCCACCTCCCAAGTGCTGGGGCCACAAGCACACACCACAGAACCTGCTTTCTGTGGGAGACGTGAAACCCAGGTCTTCCTCAGTGCTAGGTGCGCACACCCCTGGCTGAGCCGTGGCCCTCACCCCTGGCTGAGCCGTGGCCC